AGGAAACTATTACATTTATTCACCACTGGGAATTCACACAGCAGTAAAATTTCAAAGCTGACAGAAGATACTATCTACTCTTTATTTCATAAATAAAAATAATTACCTTTATCATAACCCCATTTCATTAAAGAGAGAACTCTTTACTTTTAACATTTTTTTGAAATAATAAAATTTACAGAAAACTTACAAGAATAGTACAAAAAACTCCTACATACAATTTATCCAGATTCACCAGTTTTTAACATTTCACCACATTTGTTTATTGTTCTCTCTCCCCTAACCCAAATGCATACAGTTATTTTTTTTTTTTTTGTCTTTTGTCTTTTTTCCGTGTCCGGCAACGGATCGCAACCCTCAGTGTTGCCCCCGTACCGGACCGGGGACCGGCAACGGGATCGCAAGCCTCGGTGTTGCTCCCGCGCCTCGCTCAGCCAGTGAGCGGGAGCCGGTCTGTACGTGGGATCCGAACCCTCAGACAGGAGCACCGCCGCGCTTCCCAAGCGGCGCACTATCCAGTGCGCCGCCAGGCCGGCCCTATACCCCAAAGTTTTCTATCATCCTCAATATAAACTCTGTTCAGCAGTTCTTTCTTGTCCATGGTACCCACGGTCAACCATGGTCCAAAAATATTAAATGGAAAATTCCAGAAATAAACAATTTGCAAGTTTTAAATTGCGTGCTGTTTTGAGTAGCATAATGAAATCTTCCACTGTCCTGCTCTGTTTTGTCTGGGACTTGAAATATTCCTTTGTCCAGTGTATCCATGCTCTGTATGCACTATCCCACTAGTTAGTCACTTTGTAGCCCTCTAGGTTATCCGATTGACTGTGGCAATATTGCAGTGCTTGTGTTCAAGAAACCTTAATTTTGCTTAATAATGACCCCAAAGTGCAAGAGTAGTGATGCAGGCATATTGTTACAATTGTTCTATTTAAGGGCCAGCCTGTGGCTCACTCGGGAGAGTGCGGTGCTGATAACACCAAGGCCACGGGTTTGGATCCCATATAGGGATGGCTGGTTCGCTCACTGGGTGAGCGTGGTGCTGACAACACCAAGTCAAGGGTTAAGATCCCCTTACCGGTCATCTTTTAATAAAAACAAACAAACAAACAAAAAAACCAGTTGTTCTATTTAATTATTTGTTATTGTTATCTCTTATTGTGTCTAATTTCAAAGTTAAAATTTATCATAGGTATGTATATAGGGGAGAAAACATAGTATATGTAGGATTTGGCACTACCTGTGGTTTCAGGAATTGATTGGAGGGGTCTTAGAATATTCCCCATGAATAAGGATGAACTATTTTACCCATTAAACAACTTCCCGTTTCCACCTCTTTCCAGCCCCTAGCAACTACCATTCTGCTTTCTAGCTCCATAAATTTGACTACCCTAGGTATCTCATAGAGGTGGAATCATGCAATATTTATCTTCTTGCGACTGGTTTATTTTATTTAGCATAATGCCTGCACAGTTTATCCATGTTGCATCATGTGTCAAAATTTTATTCCTTTTTAAGGCTGAGTAATATTCCATTGTATGTTTATACCACATTTTGTTTATCCATTCATCTGTTGATGGACACTAGGCCGTTTCTACCATTTGGCTATTGTGAATAATTCTTCTGTGATTAATGATTTTGAGCATCTTTTTATGTGTTTATTAGGCATTTGTATATCTTCTTAGGTCACCATTTCTCTTGAACGTGGTACTGGATGTTCTAGCCAGTGTAGTAAGGTAACAAAAGGCATCTACATTAGAAAGAAAGAAGTGAAATTGTCTTTATTCACAGACACATTATTATCTGTATAGAAAATTTGAATTATCCTACAAGAAAGCTATAGAACTAATAAGTGACTTCAGCAAGATTGCAATGTAAGATCAACATATAAAAATCAGTTGTATTTCTATATAGTAGCAATGAATAATTACAAATTGAATTAAAAAGGAAACAGTGCCATTTACAATAGCATCTAAATTATTAAGTATTTAGGGATAAATCTGATAGAAGATCTGAAAAACTTAACTGCTGCAAACTGCAAAACATTGCTGAGAAAAAATTTTAAAGATCTAAATAACAGAGATAAAACTTGTTAATGGGTTAGAAGACTCAATATTGCTAAGATGTTGGTCCTCCTTAAATTGACCTATTTCAAAGTAATCTAATTAAAATCCTAGTATGCTTTTTTTTGTTTTGGCATAAAATTAACAAGTGGATTATAAAAACCTTATTGAAATGCAAAGGACCTAGTATAGCCCAAACTATTTTGAAAAAGAACAAAGTTGAAGGCTAATGCTGCCTGATTTCAGTACTTATTATAAAGCTACAGTAATCAAAACTATGTGATACTGGCATATAGACAAATAGATTAATGGAACATAATAGGGGCTACAGTAATCAAAACTATGTGATACTGGCATATAGACAAATAGATTAATGGAACATAATAGGAAATCCAGAAATAAACCTACACATATCGGGCAATTTATTTTTGAACAAAGGTATGAAGGCAATACAATGGAAAAAGGATAGTCTTTCCAACAAATAGTACTGGATTAGTTGGATATTTGTTTGTAAAAAAAATGAATCTTGATTTATACCTCACGCTGTGTACAAAAATTAACTCAAAATAGATCATAGACCTAAATGTAAAGCCTAAAATTATAAAACTTTTAGATGAAAATGTGGGAGAAAACCTTTATGACCTTGGATTAGACAGTAATTTCTCAAATATGACACTATAAACATGATCTATAAAAGAATAGCTTGAGAAATTGGACTTCATCAATAATTAAAGACCTCTGCTTTCCAAAAGATACTGTAAGAAAATAAAAAGACAAGCTATAGACTGGGAGAAAATATTTGCAAAGGATATGCCTGATAAATGACTTGTCTCCAGAATACAGAAAGAACTCTCAAAACTCAGTAATGAGAAAACAAACAACCTAATAAAAAATGGACAAAAGATGTGAACAGAAACTTCACTGGAGAAGATGTATGGATGGAAGATAAGTACATGAAAAGATGGTCAACATGATAGCATTAGAAAATGCAAATTAAAAGCACAGTTTGATATCTCTATATATCTGTTGTAATATCTAAATTAAGAAGACTGACTTTATAAAGTGTTCAAGAGGATGTGGAACAACTGGAACTCATATACTGCTGGTAGGAATGGAAAATGGTACACTTCACTTTAGAAGATGATTTGGCAGTGTTTTAGAAGTACATACACCTACCAGATAAGCCAGCCATTCCATCCTGGGATATTGCCCAATATATATGAAAGCATATGTCTGTAAGGCTTGTACATGGGTTGTTCACAGCAGCTTTATTTATAATAGCCTCAAACTGAAAATAACCCAAATGTCTATTAAAATATGTGAATGGATAAACATATTGTAGTTTATTAATACAGCAGAATACTACTCAGAAATAGAAAGGAATGAACTATTGATATAGGCAACAAAATGGATGAATCTGAAAATAATTATGAGTGAAAGAAGCCAGACCCCCCAAAAAGTACATACGGTATGATTCCATTTATGTAAATTCTAGAAACTAATCTGTAGTGGTAGAAAGCAGATTTCTTGCCTGGGGAGTAGGGATAATGAAGAGGTACAAGAAAATTGTGGCTGTTGATGAATATGTTCATTATCTTGGTTTCACAGGTACATATGTTAGTGAAAATTTACCAAATTGTACAGTATGTGCATTTTATTGTGTGTAAATTATACCTCAATAAAGTTGTTTTTGAAAAGCACATGAAATCCATGGAAATATTCAAAACTTCAGAAGCTTAATTTTATTGTTAGAGATATTGAGTTTAAAATGAAAACCTTGATTCAACGTTCATAGTCTCTAGATTTCTACCACGTAGCGCCTAAGTCTCTTAAAATGTATTTTATATACATTGTATATTCTTTGGTTGTAGTTTCTTATGCTCTGTTTGGTATTTATATATGAAATATTTGATGATTACTAAACTTACTTATTTTACATGGTGTCTATGTAAAGTTTATTGCTTATAAGGGATGAGTCCTAACTGGATTGTTGAGAGACTGCTGTAATTATATTACTGTTTCCTTTATTTTTCTGTGTTAGAACTTGACTAATTCATGATCTATTCAATTTGTTTAAATTCTCATAAAAGAGAATCATTTCTTAAATGGTCTGAAAAGTGTTCATTAAGTACATTTCGCTCAAAGGAAAGCACCATAGCCCACCTTTTGACAGTTTGATTCTTTTTTTGCGGGGGAGGGGGTAGCTGGCTGTATGGGGATCCGAACTCTTGACATTGGTGGTCAGTTCAGTTATTCTTAATAGAGCCTTAGGCACATGAAAGGATCATAGTTGTGTTACAAAGGAATTGATGCTATTAATTTGTACTTTGTAGGAGGTAAAAGCTGACAAGATGATAAAAGCAAGCTTTCTTCTACAGAATGACAATTTGATTATAAATCCAGCTGGGAAGTGTGTTAGCTGATCATTGTTAATTCAAGGATATTTTAATTTTAGTGAGTCAGGATAAATTATTTAGTTTAATTGATGTCTTTTTTACCCTCTTTTCTAGGAAATATAACAGCAGCCATGATAGAAGACAAAGGACCAAGAGTGACAGACTACTTTGTCGTGGCAGGTCTCACTGATACATCTACTCTTTTGGATCAAGAAATAAATCGTTTAGATACTAAGTCAACTGGACCTAAAGCTCCAATTACAGATATTGCAGTTATTATTAAATCAGCCGGGGAAACAGTACCTGAAGGTTACACCTGTGTTGAAAACACTCCATCAGCTCTCCAAGCAAACTTGAACTATGGAAGTCTGAAAAGCCCAGAACTTTTCCTCTGTTATAAGAGAGGGAGAGATAAACCACCCCTTACAGATATTGGGTATGGTAACTTATTTTCTTTTGCTATTGTGAAGAGAATACAATTTATTTAAGGTGCATGGGAGGAGAAATTTGAAATTCTTGTTAGTTTTAAATGTTATTTGTTATCCCAGGATCAAGTATAGTAATATATGTCTGTATCCACCCTTACTGAATTTCTCTGCATTGTATTTGAATTGTTAGATCATTTTTTTTCAAAAGAATATTGAAATGAAGGCATTAGACCCTGAAATGTGATTTTGTTTCTGTTGTACTTATCAGATAAGCTTATTAATAAAAAAAAAAAATAATGGGAAGCAATAATAAAAGACAGTATGTTTTTAAGGAGCTACTTGGTTATATAGTGAGTTTTTGCGAAGCCCTCAACTCATTTAACAAATAAGTGTTCCTGTCTTAAAAAATTTAGTTATGTTGTGTGGCTTTTGGTGCTGGGAGGAGGGTATTTGCAGCTTAGAAGGAGTGTAGTTGTCATGAAGTATTTAGTATCTAGTCCACAGTCAGTGAAGAACATTCTTCTTTGTAAAATCCTACAAAGGCTTTTTTCCCCCCAAAATGTCTACATTGACTCTTGTGTAAAAACAATGTGCTTTTAGAATACCTGTAATACTTTACCATACATGTATGTCATGTATTAAAGTGTTCTGTTTATTATATTACTATTAGTAAAAAGATTATAGATATTTGAGAGCATCCCAGCAAGTATTTCAGGATCAGCTTTTCCATCTATGTAAAAAAAAACAATTTTGATGGAAATTACATTAAATTATAGATCAATTTGTGGAATATTGCCATCTTTACAATATTAAGTCTTCTAGCCCATAAACATGGATTTTTTCTGTTTATTTAGGTCTTTAATTTCTTTCAGCAATGTTTTATGGTTTTCGTTGTGCAAGTCTTTCACCTCCTGATTAATTTTATTACTAGATATTTTTATTCTTTTGGATTCTATTGTAAATAGAATTGTTTTCTTAATTTCCTTTTCAGATTGTTTGTTGTTGGTGTTTAGAAATGCACCTGATTTTTGAGTGTTAATCTTCAGTTGATTTTAGCCAAAAGGCTGAGAAGTGATTGAGTGTTAATGTTGTAGCCTGCAGCTTTGCTGAATTTGTTCATTATAAGTAAGCTCTAAGGACTTACTGTGGGTTCTTTGGGATTTTTTATATATGGGATATCTCATCTGCAAATAGAGATAGTTTTATTTTTTCCTTTGCAGTTTGGATGCTTTTGTATTTTTTTTTCTTGTCTAATTGCTCTAGCTGGAACTTTTAGTACAATGTTGAACAGCAGTGATAAAAACAGGCATCTTTTATTGTTCCTGATCTTAGGTAGAAAGCTTTCAGTCTTTTGAGTGTGGTATTCACTGTGGGTTTTTCATAAATGCAATTTCTTGTGTTGAGGAGGTTTTCTTCTATTCCTAATTTTCTGAGAGATTTTATCATGAATGGGTGTTAAATTTTGTCCAGTGCCTTTCCTTTGTCAGTTGAGATAATCATGTGATACTTTTCTTTTGTTCTTTCTTTTTTTTTTTTTTGGTGGCTGGCTGGTATGGGGAACAGAACTCACCTTGACCTTGGTGTTGTAACACTGCACTCTAATCAACTGAGCTATCCAGCTAGCCCTTTTTTCTATTAATGTGATTTATTATATTGATTTTTCTTATTTTGAATCTCTCTTTTAATATAACCATGATACCACATCTAAAAATAAGGTTCATTTCTTAATATCATCACATATCCAGATTTCCCTGACTTATTTATTTATTTTAAACACTTGGTTATTGGTTGTTCTATTGATAGTTGCTCAGATATTAAGAGACAGTGACCTGCAGCATTTGACCACCACTTGTTACGCTCATCACCCCTTCCACTGTTGCAGTAGGGCTCCCGTGAAATTGTTGTAAGGTTCTCATTGTGTTCAGATTTCCAAAGCTAAAGGATGATTTGTCCTTATCTTTTTTTTGACTGCTGGCTGGTATGGGGATCCAAACCCGTTACCTTGGTGTATATAAAGCTGTGCTCTAACCACTTGAGCTAACAGGTCAGCCCCTGGTTTGTCCTTATCTTAACTTGACATTTGTGTAGCATCCATTTAACTCCTTTAATATTGTCCACCCTGTTTAGCTACTGTGGTTCTCCATCAAGTCAATACAATTAGGATGGTGATCTTACAACTCTATAGGATCATAGGGCACAGCAGCCATGTTAAAAAGGGTTGAGAAATAATTGGGAATTGGAATATTAAAGGCTTTTAAAAAGAAGCTTGACTTTAAAGGAAAGGGAAATTAGTTATGGGCTTTAACTACTCAAAGTGTGGTCCGTAGACCAACATAGTCCAAAGGACCTGGGAGCTTGTTAGAAATTCAGAATCTCAGGCATTGCCCCAGACCTCAATCAAAATCTGTATTTTATTCCCAGAAGCAAAATCCTCAGAAGGAATGGTTTAGGATACCTGAGGGTTAGGGGAGAATGGGTATGAGGAAATATGAAGTCAAGGGCTGTTTTTTTTTTTTTTTTTTTAAATAACTTTTCTCTCAGGGGATAACTTAGAACATCTTTATATTGAAGGAAGAAACCAGTGGAGAAGGGAGATATTTGATAGAATGAAATTATGAAATAGATTGAAGGGGTGATGTCAACAGTGCGCATGACTGCATTAGTCTTTCATGCGAGAGACTTTTCCTTTGAGAAGGGGAAAGGAAGTTAGAATGGGTGTGAACATAAGTTATGGGTTGCAGTGAAATGACAATGATTTTATTGTCAGTTCTTTTTATTTTCTATATGGTTTTCTTAAGAAGATAGGTAATACTCTTATAAGGATGAGTATAGGATAAAATTTTGGTAATCTCCATGTCAGATGAAGGGAAACCAGCCTGGTACTCATCTTGTTTTCAGCCTTCTGTGTTTCTTCTTTTAGCCATCTTTTAAAGGCCATCTTTTGTCCCCACTCCCCACCATATAGTCATAATTGAAAGATATGAGTCTCTGAACGATTGTTGTTGCTTATGATTTAGGGACACAATTTAAGAATAAAGTGATGACTTCGTCATACTCAGTTGCTTTCAGGTTGCAAGAGGCTATTTCATATGCATCTTCCATTTCCCCAAGGCTTCTAATTTCTGTTACCATAGTTTACTAATCCAGATTTGCTAGAGTGTATGGTTGTCCTTGAGCTGATCATGATATAAATGTTTCTTCCCAGATCAAATAATTGTTAATATCTGGTGACTTAAATGTTTTGAACTGTTCTCACTTTCCCCCGACTCTTTCCTTACTCTGATGAGGTTTGGAAAACCTATTAGCTGCTATAAAGACAAATACCCATCTTATTCAGTTTAATATGAAACACTATTGCTAAACTTTTGGCCTTTTGACTGTTTTATAAACTGAGATATTTATAAAAATAATAGTTTTTCTCCTTGAAAAGATATTAAGTTAAAATATGTAAAACCTGATATTCCCATAGTAATGTCATATATGCTATAAAGTATAATTTATTTTTTAAAAATTTCTGTTATTTATTTGTTTTTGGCAGCTGGCTGATATGGGGATCCAAACCAAAGTATAGTTTAAATAGGGCACTATTTTATCTTATATACCAGATGTGTTTATAAAGATATAGAATCATAGACTGCCATGCAAAGTTCTTATCTTCCTCCCTTTAACAGATTCATTGACTTTCAAGTGATTTGCTTCTGCAGTTCTTTTGTTTTTTGAAAAATTTCAAACATGGAAAAGTTGATAAAATATTATAATAAACACAAATATACTTTCTCCTCGATAATAGACTATAGTATAATACAGTTTCCACCAACAAATTAACATTTTCCTGTATTTTTGCTAAGCTATTTAAAAGAAAGCTAGTGATATTGTGACAGTTTACCTACCCATGAATACTTCAGCATGCATCTCTTAAGACATACTCCTGTAAAAAAAAAAAAAAAGACATGCTCCTGTATAACCACAATATATAGAAAATTAATAGTGCTATTATATTTTATTTATTTATTTATTTATTTATTTTATTTTAATTTAATTTAATTTATTTTATTATTTTATTTATGGTAGCTGGCCGGTACAGAGATCTAAACCCTTGACCTTGGTGTTGTAACACTGTGCTCTAACCAACTGGGCTAGCTGGCTAGTCCAGTCATGCTCTCATAATTTAAAATACTTATTCCACATACACATTTTCATATTTGTTCCAAGAATGTCTTGTGTAGCTTTATTTTTAAATCCAGGATTTAGTTATCGTTCACCCACTACATTTGGTTATTATACCTTAGTCTGCTTAATCTAGAACAGCCCCAACGTTTTTTCTATGATATTGACATTCCGAAGAGTCTAGTCTTGTACGTAGAATGGTCCACAGTTTGGATTTATCTATTTCCTCGTTATGTTGTTTAACTTGTTCCTTTATTGTCAGTATTTCCTGTAACCAAGATTTTAGATTTAAAGTGTAGATTAAATTTAGGTTAAATATTTTTGGCAAGAAGTCTTATAGGTCATGTCAAATAACACCAGGAAAGCATGTCGTGACAGATTGTCCCATAATTAGTAGTGCTAAGTTCAATTACTTGGTTAAGGTGGTGATAGCCAGATACCTATTGTAAAGGCATTTTTATTTTCCTATTAGTAATTTGTGGAGTAGTGGGCAATGTTTAAGCATCATGTATCCTAGCAACTTTTCACCTATTGTTTTTTAGCATCCATTGATCATTTCCTGAATTAGATCTTACATTGGGGCATGTAAAATGAGACTTTTCTAATTTTATCATTTCAAAAAATACACTTTTTGGTGGGTGGCTGGCTGGTACAGGGATCGAACTCTGGAACTTGCTGTTACCAGCACCTTGCTCTAACCAACCAAACTACCAGCCAGCCCGAAAAATACATTTCTTAACTGGCATTTTTTTGTAGTGAAAAGCCTTTCTATTTTCTCTCTGTGTCTCATTTTGTTGTTTAGAGTATGATTGAGGACTTGTGGAATTTTATTTATTCCACG